TCTCTTCCAGGCATCTTTTTCCTTATTTGTCTTTTCTCTCACCCTTGTCTTCTTCCCTCTTTTCCACCTGCTCTTATGCCTCTACCTCTCCTCTCCTGCCTCTTTTCATTATTCTACTTTTGCTTCCCATTTCTCCTTCGCCTTTCTTCCTCATCTCTCATCTCCACCCCTTTTCTATTGTCCTCCAAATTTCTTGCCCTGGGTACCCCTTTCTTTTGCTCTCTTTAGTTTTTCAAGAAGCCAGTGAGTTTTCCCAGACTGGACGACCCCAGGGAATGTCCTGCTTGATTGTTGAGTGTCATTTCTGAACAGAAAGGGCCAGCAATGGCCCTGCCAGCTCCTCCCAGGTGTGCTGTTAATTTTAAAGTGATGGGCTTCAACATCACATCAGCCTCCTTAAGGGGAAATCCTTTGTTCTAGATTCAGACAAAGCAGCACAGTCGGCCTTAAAAGAAAAAAAAAAAAGCTGTTTCATTTTATATTGGAAAAATACAATGTGACATCTGGAGAATAAATTGTTCAGTCAGCCAGAAATACGCCTTGTAAAAATTGCTTAGGTTTCTGTAACAAGATTATTTACTGAGAGTGTTCACCTATAATACAGCACACTTTTGAAATGGACCTTTTATGAAACGCATCAAGAACTGTAGAAATGTATTCAGTGCATTAATCTACAACACTGCACACTTTACCACACTCTTAGAGCAGATTTCAAAACTCAGACCATCTAATGAGATAGAAAAAGTTATTCTTATCCTGTATTCATTCCAATCATGTTCTATACTGAGCCCTTGGGATATTTAACATAATGCATTGGGTTTTTCAACCCACACACAGACAAACATACACACACACACACACACACACACACTCTCTCTCTCTCTCTCTCTCATCACATGCATTCTCGTGCACAAACAAAATATATGACTTCTCAGATGGATATTCCATTTAGAACGCACTAGACCCACATTTCAACAGCCCACGTGCAGGGCAAAGGCTGGCTATTTTAGATACCAGAACTTTATAAATATTTAAAGATCTTGATTTAATCCAAATGAGAGATCGTTCAGGTGCTGTCAGTTACTTACATAACTCCTTCTTTTCTGATCATGAGGTGACAGTTTGGATAGTGATTGCCTGGCAATTTCAGGGACTGCCTCAGTTGGAATCTGGCAGCTGGGATTGGGCCTGAGGTGGCTGGAGCAGGTGGCGGGTGGAGAAGTGGGTCAGGTGGGGGAAGCAGGGAAAAGTGTGCCTGCTTTTATGACCTTGAATTTTCTTTGCTATGCTGATAACAGCAATGGGGTCTCCCAGTTAGTAGCTCAAGAATAGGTTGTTCAATCTCTTCTGCCTCCAAGCCTACCTCTTGGTTCAACTGGCATCAGATCTAGAAAATAAAGAGCAGAGAATGAAGAGTGATTCCTCCACCCATCCAGTGAGTTGTCCAGTATCTCTCCGAAGTTGACCAGGGCCCAGTGACTTGAGTGTTGTTGCTGGAACAGCTAATTACAGGAAAGAAGCCAGTGTGGAAATTCAAGAGAGGAGATAACCAAACCATCCTCAAATTCCCTTTCCAGTGCTACAGACCAACTAATTTCTCTTCTGCCACTTCCCATCCTTTGGGCATCATTACATGGAAGTAGCTGCATTAAACTCTCCCATAAGGCTAACAGTAGTTATATGTCACCTGTGTCTTGAGGATACAAAGCTGGAGACTTGCTGAACTCTCACTGTCTCTTTTGAATGAATGTTAGTATTTTTATTTTTCTGAATCTCATTTTCTGTGAAACTACTAGCTTTCTTAAGAGACTTTCTTTAGCACACTGTTTCAGTTCCTTTCATGGAAATGTTGTCTCCACTCTTCATGGTACAACCAAAGACATTTGTCCTCCATGAAGCCTACCACAACTCCCTGGCTCACACTAACACTTTTCCTCTTGATTTTCTCATGTGATCTGTTGAACAATGCAATGTAGGCCTCATCACACATAGCTTTGCTGTCCTCTTCTAGGGAGTCTCTGCCTGCTACCTGCCTCCCCTATGTTAAATGGAGGCATAGGGGAGTGGAAAGACCAGAGCATTGAGACCAATCAAACTAGAATTCCAATCTTTTCTCCCCCATGATTCATTCATCAGATGAACCTTAGGCAAGTGCCTTAGCCATTTTGAGCCTCTTTCTTTACGTATCAACTGGAGGTGTTCTTCATGTTGTTGGTCTCATAATAGTTTATTAGCAATAAAAGCATTTCATGAACTGAAAATCCTAGAACATTTCTAGAATATCAAAAATATAGAACTTCTTATCTTATATTTCCTTCCATGTCCCCACAATGGCTAGAAAAGTGTTGAACACAGCAGAAAACTAACACATATTTGTTGGATAGAATGTTTGTTTGCCCGGGGTGTCCCTCATGGACTTCAGCTTCTGGAAGTTCTACTACAAAGTACAGAGCAGCCCAAATCAAGATGATAATGATTTACAAGCTCTGCCTGTTCTTTTCATAAGGATTTGAGGACCTCAGTTGATGTTTTCTTTACAACTTTCTAGCAGCCTGGATCAAGAGCTTTCTCATGGATTATTCTCTGGAAATATTGTAGAAGGGGCTTACACGTTTAGCGCAAATTATGAGATGACTCTTCTCTCCTCTTTGGAGCAGAGAATACTAATAAATTGGTAGCCTTGTTTGATAAGGCAGAGGTCATTGAGTTATTTCCTGTGAGCTCCTCATCTGCCATGTCTATTCTGGAGAAAAATGAGAAGACTCTAAAACTTTGATGAGATCCCATTTGATTAGGAAATTGATTGTCTTGCTCCTTAGCTGTGCATTTTTCCATAAATGAGCTTTCCCTTATATCTTGAGGAAGGCAGTGAATTTCACTGCAACAAGAACAAACACCCTCTTTTTCTTTGTTGCATTGGTGGCTTGAGAGAAAAAGTTGGTAAAAAGGTCTTGTCCTGGCTGTGAAGCTCAAGGCCACTCAGATGCTGGAAGATTTTCATCTTCAGGCAGAGGCTGAATTGCGTATAATATCTGGGTATGTTTGACTATTCAGATTGGGTATAGAAGAAAATGAATCCTTTTGTTCAGTCTGCCTTGGAAATTACAGACTCTCCATCTCATCGTGATAGAAAAGAAACATAGTATAGACTGGCACAGAGAGAAAGACAGCATCAAGGTTGGTGGTGCTCCTGAGAGACCCTGGGCCCTGTACCCGGCTTGAAGCAACTCTGTCTCTTTTCCTTTGTTCCAATGCACTGACATACTGTATATCTAAATTTCAAACTGATATGAAGTAGCTGCAGGCTCCATCCATAGAATTCACCTCATTTTCATAAAATGGTTTCTGGAAGGGTTTGAAATGAAATCATGTCTTAACATGGGTCTCATCCATTGGTGAACTTTCCCTTTAAAAACTTTTAAAGGGCATCCACCAAAAGGCTCTTGGGTTCAAGAATTTATGATGAAAAGTATAGAAAACATAGAAATAAGTAAGACAGTGTTTTCTTTAAAAGACTCAGCATCTGCTGGAGGTGATGGTTTTATAAATCCATTGACTGACATAGACTGTTGTAAGCACTATAACATACATGCAAGTGAAGTTTATGAAAGATAAAGAAGGAAGAAACATATGTGGCATAAGAGATTAAAGAAAGCTTCCTGGAAGAGGAAGACAATCTAATGAGGGTTATCCATGGTGATCAAACCAAATCTTCAGCCACTACATTTTATCTATGACTCAGTGTCAGATTGATTAAAGAGGTTGGAGGAGTATTTGCTGTGTCATGATAGAGAGAAGGTCCTACCAATTGGGTACACTCAGGCTCCTTAGGTAAGAGGACTTGGTATCAGCACCTGAGACTTTTTTCCTCTTCTGGTCTTTATGACTCATAGTGGACACTATCAGGTGGAGGACTTTGATTTAGGTCAAAACAACCTAAGTTTCAAGTATCTGAAACTAAAGATTACTGAAGACTAAAATGTAGGTTTATTAACAAGTATGAATGTCTCCTAAAACCTTGCAAAGTGAAAAATTATAGCTGAACCTCAGAAAGGAATTGCTGTCAGAAGCTGGAAAAGCCACTAGGAATTCAAGCAGTATTCCCTCTCCTTTCTGCTATTCTGAGTATCTTTTTTATTCTTCTCTACATATCAATGCTTTTTGCTTCTCAGTCCATATCTAAAATGTTGATTGCCCCAGAGCAACCAAGTTTTTTTTTCTTTTTATTGAGTTTAATGGTAAAATCTAGGTATACAATACAGTTACATTCATCATTGGGATACTGTACCTTTACATAATTGGTTTTGATTCTCATTTTTTCCCCTTGTCCTGGCCTTCCCTTCACCCCCTCCTCCCCTCCCCATTTACAAACATTTTATTTCCATTTTTTCAGTTTCTCATATTTTTTTCCTCTCCCTTACTGCCTTTCCCCTCCCCTCCCCACTTTCCCTACACCTTTAGCCCTTTACTTCCTATTTCACATTATTAATTATCTCATTAGGATCCTGTGTACTATTATAGTTTTTCACACCAGAGAAACTATTTGGTATTTCAGTTAAAGACATCTCTGTATGAACATTAAAAATAGGGAATCCTAAAATAAAACTAAAAAGGAAAGTGAAAGAGAAAAGGCAATGATGTAAGATTAAAATAATCCTTAATTCTGAAGATGAAAATGGTCCCTTAACATATTTAAATTGCTTCTTGCTCTTGTAGTCTTATCTTATTCTTTTTTTTCATTATTTAGAGAATATTAGTTTCTGTAATCAAACCCACGTAGATATGACCTTACATATTTAGTACAATGCATTACCCCTGTACACATGGAAAAAAAAAATTAACATTTCTAGACCAATATGGCTGTCCATTTCTGTACAATGCCAACTCAAGCAACCAAATTTTTAACATGCTTTTTAATTCTTTCATTCACAGAGACTGTCTGGGTATCTCTGAATTCTTATTTTATATTTCTGGTAGCAACTCTCTTTAAAATAATTTAAGTCATGTGTTTCTTTGGTCCTGTGTGTTTTGTCTGTAGGATGAGACAGAGAGTATAAAATTGGTTGTCAAAGTCCCATCCCTATGGGTAGACAGGAAGTTCTTAAGACAGAGGAGGCTTGCAGGGTAGCTGGGGAGATAGTTCCCAAAACATATACATACCTCATCTCTCAAAGGAACACACCATCTGTCCCTTCCTAAGAATGTATTCTGCAAGTGAATTCTAAATGGACAGGTTAGGGTAAACTTAGTTATAGGAAATAATATGCAAAAGGGAGAAGAGTATTTCTTATTTTAGATGGCATTCTAAAAAAAAGAGTGATATGAACCCAACCTTCAAGAACTCTATATCTGACCATAGTGAGTTTATGTTTCTGGGTGTTGTGGAGCTGAAATGCATCTCATCTTAGAGTTAAGAACAGAGTATGACCTCAGATAACATAGCAGGGAGAGAGAGGTAGAAGGAGGAAAAAGGAAAATGGGAGGGCAGGAAGAGAAGAAGGAGAAATGCAGAGAAAAAAGGCAAACAGAGAAGAAAGAAAAAAGAGGTGCACTGGGAGGCTGGGGAGGAAACTAGAGGGGGAGTAAGAAATACACAGTGAGCAGTGAGCTCCAAGTCTGTGAATACTGTTTTGCTTGATCTTCATAATTTTTTTCTACCAGGTTTACCATATTACCTTGTGGACATCTACGTGATGCTTCCTAACAAGTCAGGTTCATGAACACCCTACTAAGTCCAAACTCTTTGGCATTCAATTGGGGATCTTATAAACTGACTCCTGCCTACTTCTCCATTCTCAACTATTACCACTCCTGAAGCTGTAGTAATACGTGGTGCTTATGACTCCATATCTCTGAACATTCTGTTCCTTCTTTGTTTCTGTCACTGGTCCAAATGATGATCTACTGACCTGTCACATGCACCCTCCTCCAGGAAATTCACACACACACATACACACACACACACACACTCCACTAGCACGATATGAAGTGGCCTAACTCCAATCCTGCCCTGTTTGTACACTCAAATTTATTTACCTGTGACATGACTGTAAGCTTCTTTAGGGTGGCTCTGTTTCATTTATCTTCATATTTATTCCTGTATAAAAACTCACCTTTGCATAAGAAAGTGGTGTAGTTTGGATATTAAGCACAAGAACTCTGCTGCCAGATGGACTTACCAAGAGTCAAAGCTCAGCCCTTGTAATTCTTAGTTATAAACCTGGGTAAGTCATTCTATTCTCTAGGTTCCAATTTTTATGGTTTAAAATTATTGTAATCATAACTTACCTGTCAGGGTTACAATGTGGAGATTTAATGAGGTAATGCATGTAGCATAGTAAATATAAACAAATGCTGGTTATTATTACATAAAATCTTCTAAACATAATTTCTCCTTTATTTGATGACATGGAGGACAGCCTTTTTCCATAACCAAAAACTCTTCTGCATTTGGAGGGGGTGTCTTTTCTAGAATAATAATAAACAATTGTTCAATAGATGAGCCAACGTGCTGGTTATAGAAGATTCCAGTTAATACAGGGAGAGTTTCATCTCTTGCCACTTTTTAAAAGCTTTGATTCCATTCTCCTTTTCTTAGATGGGGAAGAAATGGAGATCACAAGGTGAGCTTTGGTATTGCACCTAGGGCTTTCTTCTAACAGCCACAGGACTATTGGGATATAAGATCCTTCCGGAGTTCTGCTATCCTCCTTGCTTTCCGGGATCCATTTCACCCCAGAAAGTGCTTTTCTCAGGACAATAGAGGAACTTTTGTAAAGTTCTAGAATGCTGAGTTTTTCAAGCAAAGCTTCAGGAGAAATAACTTCTTATTCTGATAGAACAGAGAAGTAATTCCTTTCACTCTTTCCACTTCTCCCTCACAAACCCTTCCCACACAGCCCTCTGTTTTCGAGTTAGATAATTTTTAGTAAAAAAGTTGACCTATTTTTTAACAGTCTCTGAGACAGCTCTTCTTTCCAAGTCTTACTGGGAGCTATGCTCCAAGTACACCCTTACCCTGTAAGGTACGAGGACCAAAGACTTGGAACTCACTGCTGCATCTTTTACACCCCCTCCAGTTTCCTCCCCAGCCTCCCAGTGCTCCTCTTTTTTCTTTCTTCTCTGTTTGCCTTTTTTCTCCACATTTCTCCTTCTTCTCTTTCTCCCTCCCATTTCCTTTTTTCCTCCTTCTACCTCTCCCTCCTTGCTATGTTATTTGAGGTCACTCGCCGTTCTTAACTCTAGAAGATTAGATGCATTTCAACTCCCCAGGACTGTGTTCCTCACTGGAGAGCACAGCTATTGTGACCAGGCGCATGCCTGCAGGGATTCTGTCCCAGAACTCAGCACTGCAGCCTCTTCTCTAGCTCTGTAGAATTTGGACAATGTTGCTTCATCCAGAAAAGCCTGCATTTCCAGAGCTGCTACTTTTGGTCTCAGCCAAGCTACTCTTTCAGCTCTTTATTTTGAAACCATGTCTCATTGGATTTATTTTGAAACCATATCGCTTTCTAATAAATAAATAAATAAATAAAGACAAGGAAAAAAATGGCCTGATTGCCATGAAGTGATTGACTGGCCTGGAAATACAAGAGACCTCAAGCATGATGCAAATAATTTTTAAATCTGCTGCCACTTTTCCAAATATTAGCATTAGGATTAAACAGAAATGTCTCCTGCCAAAAATAGAAAACTAGGTTTTGGGCTAAAGGGAGTTGATTCTGACATTCATTATGATAATTTTTTTAAAAACCTATATTTCAATTTAGAGAAAATGAGATAGAAGATGAGTGGAAACAGAGGAGCTCTGTGTGTGTGTGTGTGTGAGAGAGAGAGAGAGAGAGAGGGGGTTGGGTCTGAAGCTGGACATGTCAGAGAATTTACCCAGGAGGATGGCAAACCTGCGGCAGAGTCAATTTAGTTACAAGATCAAAATCTCTTGACTCACAGGAGACAGTGTTAAAAGGTTGGGAACAGCTACAGATCTGTTCGAATCATGCTTCTGCAGCAAAATCAGATTCTGAATTGCTTTACAGGCTCTCCATTTATTAAGCCCCTTTCAAGCTAGCAGTTTTTGGTCCAAGCTGTCAGGATGTTTAGGAAACTGTTGAACCAAGGCATTAACTTCATGCAACTCTCCTCTCCCAACCCCCCAGTCCCAACCAAGGATAGGACTAGCTGTTTAGAAGACAAGAGGAGAGGAAAAATCCCAGAGTGGCCCTGGGTTTTAGCTGCTTGTGGAAGGGTAGGTTGCAGTATCATCAATCCACTGCCTGATGCTTTGTTGCTAATCTTAATAGCAAATGAGTTACCAACAGCTAGCAAATGAGCACCTATTATTTGACAGGCATTGTACCACATATTTATGGACAGAGTCAGCAAACTACGAGCTGTAAACCAAGTCTAATCTGTTCTCATTTTTTTGGTACAGCCTGCAAGCTCAGAATTATTTTAATATTTTAAATGGTTAGAAAAAATTCAGAAGATGTCATGACTCCTGAAATGCTGTGAAAACCAAACCGCAATATCTACAATTGAAGTTTCACTGGAACACTGCCATGTTCCCTCCTTCATTCTTTCAGTGGACTGTGGAACAGTGTGACCATGTGTACTCGTGGGCCGTGACAGGAGAGTTAAGCAATTGTAGCAGAAATTGTATGAGCCACAAAGTCTAACAGATTTACTGTCTGGGCCTTTGTAGGAAGAGTTTGCCAGCCTTTGTTTCTCTGCACCATCTTATTCTTATAGCAGTCTTCCAAGGCAGGGAATATGATTACCTCAGTTGTTGGAGGTGGAGAGGAAATGGGGGCACCAAAAAATCTTTGTACCTTAAGCACTTTGTTTAATTTCCTGCTTGAAAAGTTACTTTTAATGAGACTATTTCCAAAGGAGGTGCCTCTTTGAGTGCTAGGGAACAGAGAAGATTGGCTGGATAACGCTTCTGGTCCTGAGCAGGTGCATCTGGGGAGTGAGGGATCCCAATAAACATAGTTAATATAATTCTTCAAGGTCTTAAACATTTATTTAACAAAAACATATACAGCCCTTAGCATGTGGCAGGCACTTTTCTAAGTGCTTGACATTCACTCATTTGATTCTTTCAGTAACACTATGCAGTAAATAGTATTACTACTTAATGTATTATAGACTGGAAAAGTGAACCCCAAAGAAGCATTTCTCACTAACCATTAGCTACAGAGTGAGTCAGGGTGCAGACAGGATTTGAATGTGGTTGAGCTTGATTCGAATGTCCTTGCTCTGTGCCTGTGTGTCATACTATTCAATAGGGGGCCAGCTACTGCCACTTAACAGACAGAAACTGAGGACCTTTCAGTGAAATGAGTGCCTGAGGAGGAGCACCTATTCAGTTGCAGACACATGATGCTCTACCCTGCCCTTCCTTCTTTACTCTGCTCTCTCCTTTCTCTTTGTTTTTAAGCTATTCTGACTTTCTTTTGAGTCTTTGGACATGAAATTCACTCTGCCTGGAACAATCTTTTTCTACATGCTTTGTGTACCTAACTCTGTGCTCATCTCAAAGATGAGAAAATCAGCAAAAATTAGTCCTTGCGTTTCCCTCAAAGGGGTCACCAGACAGCAGTGTTTATTTCTCTTTCATAGAAAAGTGCATGTTAAAGGATGACAGGCACCACCACAATCCTGAAGGACTAAGTTCCTCTTTAAGCATAGCTTCTTCTTTGAAGTTTAAAGACATTGCTGTTGCTCATGCCATCATATCTGATTTCCAAACAACCAGAAGAAGAAAAAGAAAAATAGAATAACTTGCTTCCCCTCCCCCCATATCCTATTGGCTGTAATTTAGCTGCAAAAGAGTCTGGGTAATGTAATGTTTTTTTCTGTAAGGCTTAATTCCAGCTTTAAAAAAAAGAAAATTCTGATGATGGTGAGAAGAGGAAAATGGGCCTAGGGAGACAGCTGCCATGGAACATTCTGTTTTTCTTTTATCACACTTTCCTAACTTCTAATTAAATATTTATTTGCATGGATTTTCTTCAGTGTCTTCCTCACTGATTGAAATGCAGACCTTTTGACCTGTTCCTGCATGTCCCCACTCAACAGAGGGCCGGGAATATTTTAGGTTATCATGAAGTACTTTCTAAATTAATTGTTATTAGCCAGAGTTCCATAGAGTGACAGGATCACTAGGATGGAGATTAGATAGATAGATAGATAGATAGATAGATAGGTAGATAGATAGTAGGACTATGAGAAGGGATTTGTTAGGGGATTTGACTCATGTGATTATGAAGACAGAAGTTCTACCATAGACCATCTGGAGAGTGAGGAAGCCCAGAAGCATGACTCACTCCAAGTCCAGAAGCCTCAAAACTCAAACCTAGGGAGCTGACAGTGTGACTCAATCTGAGACCAAAGGCATGAGAGACTGGAGGAGCATGGGTGCAAGTTACAGAATGCAAGGACTGGAGAAACAGGGTCTCCACTGTCCAAGGACAGGAGAAGAAGGGTGTCCCAGTTAAGAGAGAGAGAAGAGGGGGGAGAGAAAGTGTGTGTGTGTGTGTGTGTGTGAGAGAGAGAGAGAGAGAGAGAGAGAGAGAGAGAGAGAGAGAGAATGTACCTTCTGATTTTTGTTCTGTCTGGAACCTCCACCAATTTTATAGTATTCACCCATATTAGGTGAAAGCGTGCATTCCTTACTCAGTTCACTAATTCAAATG